AGGGTGACAAGCACTGGCCCCGCCCCACACAGAGAACACTGAGTAGTAAAGCCCAAACTCGGCCCCCAACTAAAATGCAAAAGTTATCTATTGCCCTCCGGCAGAGTAGAAGCCAGCCGCCCACCACGTCTGAGTGAACATCAGGAGCCCACCACGCTGCTGATTGCACACCAGAAGCTCTCCGAGACCCACCAACTCCCGACACCTCTCGGCCAAGCCGCGCCGGCCACCGTCATTCCGTCGGGAGAACCAGTCAGAAAACGTTCAAAATCTATCAACAATCCTGTGACCCAAGGCGATATGTGCGCCAGGCGTCGTAACAATCCGGACCGTTGAATAGGAATGCCAAACGCCAGAATCAAAACCAAAATCGCGAAATAGAACGTGATCCAGGGGCTCCCATGCGGAAGAGGTGTCCAGGCGTCCGCTCGTCGTCAAGGTTGAACCAGGAGTCCCCATGACGCTGGTTGTTATGTTGAAGTTCGCCTTCCCGCGCTCGTATTCCATTGGTTGAAACTCTTTGTTGACATTATCCTGAACAGCCAATTACACGAAATTATCAGCTGAAAGCTCCGACCATTTAATTACATAATTTGGTGTTTTTAACAGCTCAACCCTGTTTATGACTGTTTGTTCATCCCAGATTCATTACAAATATATACACATCATCGAACGCTAATACAAAATTATATATATATATATATATATATATATATATATATATATATATATATATATATATATATATATATATATATATATATATATATATATATATATATATATATATATATATATATATTATATATATATATATATATATATATATATATATATATATATATATCAACCCTACTCAGACGCAGCGAGCGTCCGAGTAGTCAATTTATGACTTGAGTCAAAAAACTTGATATTTGTGACCTTAATTTCCATTAGACAAGAACTCAATTTTAATTATGAAATTAGTTGAAGTTGTATATTAACACTATTGTATTTAATTAAGAGAGGTGTTGGAATGAAATTAAGACAATTGTATTAACAGTTTTATCTCAAGGAGAAACTGCAAGCATTACTCCAAACTACCGTGAAAAATACTAACAACCATATTTGGCTAGAATAATTATATCATTAATGACCATATTAATTAATTAATATTTTGTGTTAATTCGTGACGAAAGGTTCCATCTAGCGGTAGTATTTGAAACACAAATTGGGCGGGGCAGCCTAGCATCCAAGTTGCTTGTATTGAAGCTGCGCCCACAATGTTCTGAATAATTTGATAACATTCCTAGTGGTGCCACCTACGAGCAGATAAGGACACTATCAACAGGCAAACCGCAACCCATAAGCAGGGTACTTGTGCTGAACACTCAGTGTTATCAAAAAATCAAAAATCAAAATCAGAATGTTCATTCAGGTAAAGAACATACATACAAGGTGAGATACAAACAGTGATGGATTTATTGATAGAGCTAATACATACAAAGTCTAAAGTCACTATTACGCAAAGCGTTTCGGGCAGTAAAGCGTACTGCAAAGCGTTCGAAAAGCGTTTGGGCACTGCTCAATATATGTCCATATATTGGGCAGTGCTCCGTTTTATCCTTTCCAATGATTGGCTGCTTTGATGATTGTCAAGACAAAAGTGGGCGGAACGTTTAGGAGATCCATTCCTGTGATTGGCTGTTGTAGTTAATGTCAACACAAAGTGTTTACCAATGAAATGCGAGTGCAGGAAAGCGACCTTCAGCACAACTACCCATTTTATGGACTGCTATAGTCCCCTTGATGGTGACATTTTCTGCCCCTAGATGGCAGCTTCTCCCTAAAATGCTATATATAGTCGTAATGGCATACCACTTAATCCTGATAGTTTCATTGCATTCCATAAAATGGGAATATAGGAATGTAATTTACGTCGATATGAATGTAAAATTCCCATAGACTGGAAAAGGATGCGCAGAAAACGTTTCAAAGCGCTAACTGTAGTAATAATGCAATATTTAATTATAATTCATTGTGTCGGGGGACAGACAGCCAATTTATACATACAGTACATATTAGGCATACATCGAGGTGTCCCCTAGGATCGGATTACTGACCTTTTCCTGGATGCAACTCTACAACAAGCTGACTAACTCCTGGATACCTATTTACTGTTAGGTGGACAGAGGCATGAGGTGATGGGAAACGCCTCCAACCATTTCTGTCCAGCCAAAGATTCGAACCCGGAATTCTTGATTTTCAGTCGAGTACGAACCCGAGTATACTACCGGGGCCCTCTTAACACACACACAGGGGCCTGGTGACTGAGTGGACAACGCTCAGGATTCATAATCCTAAGGTCCGGGGTTTGATTCCTGGCGATGGCGGAAACAAATCAGCAGAGTTTCTTTCACCCTGATGCCCCTGTTAGCAGCAGTAAATCGGTACCTCGGAGTTAGACAGCTGTTACGAGCTGCATCCTGTGTGTGTGTGTGTGTGTGTGTGAAAAACGATTGATTGATAGTTGAGAGGCGGGCAGAAAGAGCCAGAGCTCAACCCATGCAAGCACAACTAGGTGAATACACACTCCTACTCACGGCAGAGTAGGGGGAGGGCCTCGCGGCTGAGTAGACGTTTAGGGGTCGTAGTCCTAAGGGCCCGGGTTCGATCCCCGGCAGAGGCAAAAATAATGGGACAGAGTGTCTTTCACCCTGGTGCCCCTGTTCACCTAGCAGTAAATAGTTTCCTAGGAGTTCGACAGCTGCTTCCTGGGGACGTATGTGTGTGTTAGAGAGAAATATATGTACAGTAGTAGACATAATAGAGGAAAAATAAATTAGTTAGAAAGGCGGGGTCCAAGAACTAATAGCTCGATTCTGCAGATACAAATAGCAAAATACACACACACACCAGTCACACACACATCTCTAGAAAAAGTTAAAGAAGATTCAGAGGTTTGCAACCAGACTAGTCGCAGAACTGACAGGTTACGTCGCTGGAAGACAGAAGAGTAAGGGGAGTCATGATCACCATCTTCAAAATTCTTCCAAAATTGTACTTGGATCATTTGTGTTCCGAGTAGCTGAATATATAACAACAACAACAACTTCAAATTGACTGGGGGGACAGAGAAAAACTATTTTCCATGGGTGGAACACGAACAATGGGATACCGACGGGAAATGAGTACCCAAATGAACCACAGAGACAATAGAAATCATTTTTTCAATGTCAAGTTAGTTATCAAAGGGGGTATTAGGCAGTGATGTGGTGGAGGTAGACTCCATACGCAGTTTCATATGTAGATATGATTCAACCCAATAGGTTCAGGAATCTCTACACCAGTTTATTGACAGTTGAGAGGCGGGACCAAAGAGCCGAAGCTCAACCCCTGCAAGCGCAACTAGGTGAGTATACACATACTACGTCTCTCTAACTTAGCAAACCTAACTAAATCTAATACCAATTTTTTAATAAATGCAAAACATATTAAAAATTTAGGCTTAACTTTTAGCAATTTATGTAGTCAATATATGAATATTATTAATTAACAACTAATTACAGAATAATACTTTAAAATATAAAAAATTGCACTGGCTGAGAGTCAAAATAGTTCTTGTTAACTAAGCCTAATGATGTGGTTCTGGGCTAGGATTCATCAGGCAAGTATATATATATATATATATATATATATATATATATATATATATATATATATATATATATATATATATATATATATATATATATATATATATATATATATATATATATATATATATATATATATATGGGAACAAGCCTGAATGGTCCCCAGGACTATATGCGACTGAAAACTCACACCCCAGAAGTGACTCTAACCCATACTGCCAGGAGCAACGCAACTGGTATCTACAGGACGCCTTTATCCACTTGACCATCACAACCGGACAAAAGGAATATAGTCCATATAGTCCTGGGGACCATTCAGGCTTGTTCGCATTTGTGTTCCTCACATGTGCCCCAAAGAATGAGGTAATTTGATAAAATGCTATGCCCAAGATTACCATCTGAGTGCCGGCGGGGAAGTGGTTCAAATAGCTTCGGCTATCACTTCCTTTTGTCCGGTCGTGATGGTCAAGCACATTAAGGCGTCCTGTAGATACCAGTTGCATTGCTCCTGGCAGTATGGGTTCGAGTCACTTCTGGGGTGTGAGTTTTCAGTCGCATATAGTCCTGGGGACCATTCAGGCTTGTTCGCATTTGTGTTCCTCACGTGTGCCCCAAAGAATGAGGTGATTTGATAAAATGCTATGCCCAAGATTACCATCCGAGTGCCGGCGGGGAAGTGGTTCAAATAGCTTCGGCTATCACTTCCTTTTGTCCGGTTGTGATGGTCAAGCAGATTAAGGCGTCCTGTAGATACCAGTTGCGTTGCTCCTGGCAGTATGGGTTCGAGTCACTTCTGGGGTGTGAGTATTCAGTCGCATATAGTCCTGGGGACCATTCAGGCTTGTTCGCATTTGTGTTCCTCACGTGTGCCCCAAAGAATGAGGTGATTTGATAAAATGCTATGCCCAAGATTACCATCCGAGTGCCGTCAGGGAAGTGGTTCACATAGCTTCGGCTATCACTTCCTTTTGTCCGGTCGTGATGGTCAAGAGGATTAAGGCGTATTGTAGATACCAGTTGCGTGGCTCCTGGCAGCATGGGTTCGAGTCACTTCTGGGGTGTGAGTGTTCAGTCATATATATATATATATATATATATATATATATATATATATATATATATATATATATATATATATATATATATATATATATATATATATATATATATATATATATATATATATATATATATATATATATATACATATCACTTCAACCAATCACACTTCAAGGCTCATGTCATGTTATCAGGTGAAGACCGAGGTATTTCCTGGGTCACCTTTCCAGTGATGTGGAGGAGACAAGGAGGCCAAGAAGCTGGAAACAAGATCACCTCGCAAGGCTCCAACACTGGGGTGAGGTG